GACGGTCTTTGTGATGATGGCTTGGCGGCTGAGCCGCTAGACCCCTGGGCTGACGCAGCTCGGGCTTCTGTTCCTCGCGGCGGCGTTGATCCTCCCGAAGTTCACGGTGAAGGTGGCGGCAGTGCTCGCCGCACTTGGCGGAAAGCGAAGCATTCCGACGAGAATGCCGGGGAAACCCCTGCCTGTACCTCGGGGGAATACGAGGACCTTGGGCAGGACAGTACTGAGCCTTACGACGACAGCAAGCATGTGTGGAGAGGTGAAGGCCCCTGGGACTACTACTACGACCCCACGAAGCACGAGTGGGACAGTTCTTGGCCCACGCGGGGCGCTTGGGAAACTTCCTGGAACTCCGGGTGGGAAGCTGGCTGGAACTCAGAAATCCGCAGAGAATCCTGGTCGGGCGCAACAATGGCTTCCTCCCGGGACCGTAACGAATGGAACCGCTCCAACAATTCCAACGACGATGCCTGGGATGCAGAATGGAGGAGACCTTCGTCTACTTCCTCAGCTCAGGATGGCCATCCCTGGGAGATCGAATGGACTAGATCGTACCCTACCTCGGCTAACTACCCGAACGACCCCAAGAACTTCGCAATCCCAGGTGAACAATGGCAAGCTCGACCTCCCGAACCTCGTGATCAAGGACTCCCTGATGGCGATCGTCGTGGAGGCCTCAGCGAGCGCATGTCGGTTCCTTCTTTCTCTGCTGATAACGGGGGAGATGAACTGGGTTTGTCTGCTCGGAGCTACATCCGACAAATAGACGCATGGGTCAGAGTTACTCGAACACCTGCTGCTCAACAAGCCATTCTCCTATATCAAAATCTCAAGGGGCGCGCTTGGATAGAAGCGGAGGAACTGGACGTCAAGGACCTCTGCACGGCGGACGGCGTGGACAAGTTCAAGGCCTGGATCGCGGAGCGCTACCAAGAGATCGAGGTCGGAAAGATCGCCGAGGCATTGAACGGCTTCTTCAAGAAACTACGCCGTGGTCCAAACCAGTCTGTGAGGGAGTTCAATGCAGCTTTCGACCGCTCCTATGCCAGACTGGTCGAAATCGAATGCCGACTACCGGAGACGGCTCGTGCTTGGGCCTACCTCAGTGCTCTCTCTCTTTCCCACTCGGAGGAGCTGGCCATCCTTGGGAGCGTGAACAACGAGTTCGTATGCAGCAGACTACAGCGCGCAGCG